TGAAAGTGCATTTAATACCCAAGTTCTAGAACATGACTAAAGTCCAGAAGTGGAAGAACAACTAGAACTTTCTGCCAAATTTTACAGCTCGTCAACGCGAAGGAGAAGATTTATTCAGATGTCAGTTGCCCCTGCTGCATGTTTCCTGACTATGCCTAAAGGAAAGGTAATATCAATCTGTCTGGAACAATGCATGCCGCAGAAGCTGTTGGATAAAACGAACAGCACTCCATCTGTCCACCTGTCAGAGCTTCACTCTCAGACCAGCTGCTTATCAAGATAAGAACCTGCTATGCGCAGCCATAACATGACATTTTTAGGTTGCGTTATCCTAGGATAAGACTAGTATTCTTCCTAGGCGCTCCACTGCCCAAAACCATTGTCACAAGTAGGATGTCAGATTTAGAAATACATAGATTATTGCATCAAGTAAAGATCACGGATTGAGCAAGATTATCTGTATACATCAAGCAAAGATCTTGAATTCATAGATTGTCTATTTCATCTCTTACCACTTTCGGTGTTGAAGTTCTGTTTCTTTCTATTTTCATCACCTCATCACAGACAACTGATTCTGATATAGAGTTTATCTGTTGTCCTCTTTCCTCTTTACTCTTAGTCTACTTTGAGTTATAAGCCACTTTCCTCTTTTGATGCCTTGTATGGTAAGATATCCAAGATATCTCTTTAAGTTAGAAGCCATTTTATTTGCTGTTTCTGTTAGTAATTTGGTACTGGTTCTATGCCAACTTTTTCTCTGATCTCATTCCTGCTTTTATCTTGACTGGTCACTTCCACAGCCTTTTCCATGGTTACTAATTTTCATTCCTGCACTGATCTTGGATAGTTCAGTAATAAATTAATGAAGATTAGCTGCATGCACCAAGTTATGATTTTCTATTGATAATGTGAACAAGAAACTATATTTAAATATTTGTAATTTGTTCCTCAACATTTCAAACAAATGTTTCAAAAACAGGGGGAGAAAATGCAAAAAAAAAAAAAAAAAAACCAAGATGTCTAAACTTGAGAATGCAGACTCTAAACCAGGGCTATTTAGCTAAGTTTACCCAGGGGCCAAAATATTGAACATGGGGATGGTCACGGGTCTGAGCCTCGGCACAGAAAGATCATTAATGCAATACAGCTGGCACTGATCTGCAGGCTATTTGCCAGGCCCCTGCGAGCGGAATCTGGCCCATCGGCAGCCAGCTGAATAACCCTGCTCTACACCTTAGGCACATCATGAGTGATGGAAACTTGAAAAAATTAGTTACAACAGTTTTCTTCTTTTTTCCCTCTTCTTTCATTTGCTCTACAATGTGTCTGATATTTTTTTTTTTTTTTAACCAAAGAAAAAAGGAAACCTGTTCAATGCATTGTCAAATATAGACAAAATCTATGCCAACAATGTTGCTCTTTCAGGTGGGACTGGCATTCAATGCCAACAATGTTGCACCTCTCAGGTGAGACTGACAGTCTACGCCAACAATGTTGCTCCTCTCAGGTGGGACTAACAGTCTACGCCAACAATGTTGCTCCTCTCAGGTGGGACTGACAGTCTACGCCAACAACGTTGCTCCTCTCAGGTGGGACTCACAGTCTACGCCAACAACGTTGCTCCTCTCAGGTAAGACTGACAGTCTATGCCAACAACGTTGCTCCTCTCAGGTAAGACTGACAGTCTATGCCAACAATGTTACTCCTCTCAGCTGGGACTGGCATTCTATGCCAACAATGTTGCTCTTCTCAGGTGAGACTGACAGTCTACGCCAACAATGTTGCTCCTCTCAGGTGGGACTGACAGTCTATACCAACAATGTTGCTCCTCTCAGCTAAGACTGACAGTCTATGCCAACAATTTCTTATCACAGTTGGGTCTGACAATTTCAATGTCAACAATGTTGTTCTCCTGAGCTGGATTTGGAAATTCATATGTCAACAGTGTTGCTCCTCACTCTGATTTTACAAAATCTATGTTGCTCATCTCAGTTGAATTTTGCAATTTCTTTAAAAAAAAAAAAAAAAAAAAAAAAAAAAAAAAAAAAAAAAAAAACGCTTCCCCAGTTGGGTCTTTACAGTCTATGATAAAAATTTACCATAGTTGGCACTGACAAAGTCTGGTTCAACAATGTGCTTCCCTATGTCATGCTGACAAAGTCTATGCCACAACACCATTGTTCTCATGGGACTGACACACTGGTAGAAACATTAGGCTATTGTTTTCCCCTCCGTATTTATGATCTGTACGCCCAACTGTCTTTTTGTGCAATATGCATGATGACAGTCAAGTTGAAATGATTACAAAAATAAATGATACATGGAGAAAGTAATAATCGGTTCAGGTTGATGCCCCAGGAAATATGTAACAACATAAATGATAAATATCAGGTCTCCGAAATTGTGGAGAAAGATGAGGACCAGTGACAACGAATCACCATCTGTCATTTTTTTTTATCATCAATAAATGTGTAATTAATATTATACAAAGTAACTATGTTTTAAACAATCCCTTTACATTCAACTGGCATAAAAAGATGGACAGAGGGAGGGAAAAACAAGCAGAGATGGAGACAGTGGACAGGTATAAGTGACAGAGAGAAAAACAAATAGAGAGAAAGAGACTGAGAGAGGAAAATACAGAGAGACAGACTGATATGGAGAAACAGAGAGAGAAAGAAAGAAAGAGAGAGATAAGAACAAACACACACAAAAAGAAAGAGGGAGATAGACAGAGTAGAGGAGAGGTTTAGAGCAGATTAAAATAATTTCACAAGGCCTCAATAAGGAAATAATTACTTTTAAATATAGTTAATTCTTTAACAAACATGTCAATGATTATAACTGATGTGAACTAGCTTTTAATGACAGCTAGGGGTCATTAACTGAGATAACTAGTCTATATGCAAATATATACTATAGTTTTGATGTGCTTTGAAATAATAAAATGAAAACACAGCCTCTTACATAAATAAATTTAACTCAAAACCTGAATAAAATGTATAATTACTGCAATATACAACAAGACTGAGTGGAACCTCATACAACACTTCTGCCACAGATCCACATGTGCCACAGATGATGACCTTTGTTGGCAGAGGATCCACCACAGATGCAGTGTCTGGACAGCCTCTGAGACTCACAAGCCCTTCTCCAATGCATGAGTGAAAATGTATATCAAGAATGCACTGTAACATGTGCCAGTCCAAAGGCAAAGCATCCTATTAAATGACAAACACTGGTTTTAAAATGTTAAACATCTGCATTGCTGAGCTAGAAAACTAACCATTGCATTCCCTAACTTCAAGACAGCTGCATAAAGTTAGAAAAATCTGTGTCAAATTACAAAAAACAGTAACAAATCTCTTCTTCTTCACTTTCTCTTTTACAGCATCAGCTGTCGAGGAAAATATAAGGTTATGCTTTTTGCTCTTCTCGATCACAGACACATTGTTTTCCTGATGCTATTTTCCCATCTTGTTCTTGATCCGACTCATTCCTTATGGCCTTTTCCGATTTAGTGTATGCCTTATATGGTCTGGCACCACAAGGCATTCTCTATTGCTGAGCAAACCATTTAATTTGCTCATCTAGACAGAATGCCTTGTGACATCTTTGTTTGAAGCTTACAACTGGTTCTGTGACAACATTTTCTCTTATGGGGGCTGCGTGGTTTCGAGGCATGGTATCCGCCTCAAGTACTAGAGGTTCCGGGTTTCAATCCCCGGTAAGAGCAGGGATTTTTTCACATGGACTTGGACTTCTAGTAATTCCCCCTGGTCTCTGAGTAGTGAGATCGGACGGCCGTGTGCAATGCTGCGCATGTAAAAAATCCCTTAACAGTTTTAAATCGAAAAGAGTAGCCTAACAGTGCTGCCCGGGCAAAAATTTGGAGTTAAAAATCTACCCAAAGCATTTCAGGATCCTCGCCCGTGCTACAGAGCCTGTGCACTGTGCTGAGCTTCTTGAGACTCAGACTTGATTTTATCTACTCTGGTCATTCCTGCAGCCCTTCTCAGACTAACAAAAAATTAATTACAATCCTAAATGTACAAAAATCAATATAAAGGAACAATACGAAAAACATTTTAAAGTCACTGCTGATCCCTGATACCCTGGTTACACAAAATAACACATATTTACAAAGGGAATAAGATTATAAATATTAATAATGAACATGGTAAAACTTAACTTACCACAGAATGAGAATACTTTAAAATGGTACATACTGAAAATTTATACAGAAAAATAAGTTTTCCAGATCAGTTCGTGTGAGAAGTAAATAATGAGTTATCCTTTCAGAAAGAAATATTTAACCCTTTGGGCACCAAGGAATGCATTACTTGTTGACTTATAATTAATTTAATTGCCCTGTGGTGCTGAAAAAAGTTAACAGCCAGTGTAAGACAGCTCGAGACAGTAAGGAAAATAAGGTTCTATCATGACTGTCAGAATATTCACTTAACAGCTGTTGAAAAAAATAATGTAAAGAGAAAATGTGACAGTAAAAAAAAAAAAAAGACATAAACAGCAAAATAATGTGAATTTCTGCTATAGTGAAGCAGCTTTTAAATGCAGCAGCTGTAAACAAATAACTCAAAGACAGCACTGGACAGTAAAAGACAAGGACAACAGTGAGGCTCTCTGGTGTACAATCTCTATGCAGCAGCAGTTAACAAATAATTTAAAGACAGCACTGGACAGCACAAAACAGTAGGTTCTGTCATTAAGAAGCGGAATGTTTGGCAGCAGCCATTAACTATTTAAAGATAGCACTCGGCAGCACAAGAAAGTAGGTCAATGCAGGGTTCTGTCACCAGGATGCAGAATATCTTTTGCAGAAGCTGTTAACACAAACAATTTACAGACAGTATCGCACAGCACAAGACAGTAGGCAATTGCAGGTTTCTGCCAAAAGGATGCAGAATATTTTGGCACCAGCCATTGACAAACAATTAAAAGACAGCATAAGATGATAGGCAATTGCAGGTTTTCTGTCATCAGGATGCCGAGTATCGGTGCAGCAGCTGTGACTGGCAGGTGTCACACACTCTCACTGGTTTTGAAGAGGATGGAAGTGGCATTTTGTTGTCAGAGCACTCCCCACAGTAGATGTCGCCACAGTTCCGACAGTGATGCTGTGTACGAAAGAACAAATAGGATTTTGAGCAAACTGTGCGCATGTTGTGGGTTTGAATCTGAATGGAGCAGAACTTTAAAAAAAAAAAAAAATCACCTCAGCTCCCAGCGTTAAATGGGTACCAGGTGAAGTCCTGGGAAGTAAAGGCAGCCAGCGTGATTCTGACCACATCATCCAAGTGCCGATTGGCCTATATAAAATACAAATCTAGCCATAACTGACCAATTCTCCTGAAGGCTTGGAAAAAGGTCACTCACTTCAGTTATGTGACAGAAACTGTGCACATGCATGATCTGCATTTGTCCATTGCAGCACACTGTGGTGTGGTTTACAGCTAGGCAGTGACATTTGCCCCCTTTGGCCCAAGCCATCTGATTTTGGGCAAACCATTAGTTAGTTGCCTTTAATGACAAACTTATTCATGGACAGTGAGTCTTTTCTATTCAACTCCCAAAAATGAAGCCCTGGAATCCACATGAGAAATCAAGACTCAACAGTAACAATACCAGGCAATGTGGATAAATTGTGTGCATAAACCAACATGACTCTAAACAGTAACAATACCAGGCAATGTGGATAAATTGTGTGCATAAACCAACATGACTCTAAACAGTAACAATACCAGACAATGTGGATAAATTGTGTGCATAAACCAACATGACTCTAAACAGTAACAATACCAGACAATGTGGATAAATTGTGTGCATAAAACAACAAGACTCTAAACAGTAACAATACCAGACAATGTGGATAAATTGTGTGCATAAACCAACATGACTCTAAACAGTAACAATACCAGACGATGTGGATAAATTGTGTGCATAAACCAACATGACTCTAAACAGTAACAATACCAGGCAATGTGGATAAATTGTGTGCATAAACCAACATGACTCTAAACAGTAACAATACCAGACAATGTGGATAAATTGTGTGCATAAACCAACATGACTCTAAACAGTAACAATACCAGACGATGTGGATAAATTGTGTGCATAAACCAACACGACTCTAAACAGTAACAATACCAGACAATGTGGATAAATTGTGTGCATAAACCAACATGACTCTAAACAGTAACAATACCAGGCAATGTGGATAAATTGTGTGCATAAACCAACACAACTCTAAACAGTAACAATACCAGGCAATGTGGATAAATTGTGTGCATAAACCAACACAACTCTAAACAGTAACAATACCAAGCAATGAGGATAAATTGTGTGCATAAACCAACACGACTCTAAACAGTAACAATACCAGGCAATGTGGATAAATTGTGTGCATAAACCAACACGACTCTAAACAGTAACAATACCAGGCAATGAGGATAAATTGTGTGCATAAACCAACACGACTCTAAACAGTAACAATACCAGACAATGTGGGTAAATTGTGTGCATAAACCAACACGACTCTAAACAGTAACAATACCAGGCAATGTGGATAAATTGTGTGCATAAACCAACACGACTCTAAACAGTAACAATACCAGGCAATGTGGATAAATTGTGTGCATAAACCAACACGACTCTAAACAGTAACAATACCAGACAAATTGGATAAACTGTGCGCATAAACCAACATGACTCTAAACAGTAACAATACCAGGCAATGTGGATAAATTGTGTGCATAAACCAACACGACTCTAAACAGTAACAATACCAGGCAATGTGGATAAATTGTGTGCATAAACCAACACGACTCTAAACAGTAACAGTACCAGGCAATGTGGATAAATTGTGCGCATAAACCAACACGACTCTAAACAGTAACAATACCAGACAATGTGGATAAACTGTGCGCATAAACCAACACGACTCTAAACAGTAACAATACCAAGCAATGAGGATAAATTGTGCGCATAAACCAACACGACTCTAAACAGTAACAATACCAGGCAATGTGGATAAATTGTGTGCATAAACCAACACGACTCTAAACAGTAACAATACCAGGCAATGAGGATAAATTGTGTGCATAAACCAACACGACTCTAAACAGTAACAATACCAGACAATGTGGGTAAATTGTGTGCATAAACCAACACGACTCTAAACAGTAACAATACCAGGCAATGTGGATAAATTGTGTGCATAAACCAACACGACTCTAAACAGTAACAATACCAGGCAATGTGGATAAATTGTGTGCATAAACCAACACGACTCTAAACAGTAACAATACCAGACAAATTGGATAAACTGTGCGCATAAACCAACATGACTCTAAACAGTAACAATACCAGGCAATGTGGATAAATTGTGTGCATAAACCAACACGACTCTAAACAGTAACAATACCAGGCAATGTGGATAAATTGTGTGCATAAACCAACACGACTCTAAACAGTAACAGTACCAGGCAATGTGGATAAATTGTGCGCATAAACCAACACGACTCTAAACAGTAACAATACCAGACAATGTGGATAAACTGTGCGCATAAACCAACACGACTCTAAACAGTAACAATACCAGACGATGTGGATAAATTGTGCGCATAAACCAACACGACTCTAAACAGTAACAATACCAGACGATGTGGATAAACTGTGCGCATAAATCAACATGACTCTAAACTGTAACAATACCAGACAATGTGGATAAACTGTGCGCATAAATCAACACGACTCTAAACAGTAACAATACCAGACAATGTGAATAAATTGTGTGCATAAACCAACACAACTCTAAACAGTAACAATACCAGACAATGTGGATAAATTGTGTTATAAACCAACACAACTCTAAACAGTAACAATACCAGACAATGTGGATAAATTGTGTGCATAAACCAACACGACTCTAAACAGTAACAATACCAGACGATGTGGATAAATTGTGTGCATAAACCAACATGACTCTAAACAGTAACAATACCAGACAATGTTGGATAAATTATGTGCATAAACCAACACGACTCTAAACAGTAACAATACCAGACGATGTGGATAAAATGTGTGCATAAACCAACATGACTCTAAACAGTAACAAAACCAGACAATGTGGATAAATTGTGCACATAAACCAACACGACTCTCAACAGTGACAATACACATACGATATGCACAAACACAAACATGACTATGACAGTAACATATACCTACATGACGAGAACATATACAAACATGACTATGACAGTAACATATATCTACATGATGTAAAGTAAAAGTAAAGTAAAGGAACCTTTTCCACGCCTTTAGGCGTATAGGGCATATAGGGCTAGCCCTATATTTTTATAGACCAATCGGCACAAGATAGGTGATGTGGTCAGTATCACGCCGGCCGCCTTCACTTTCCCAGGACTGCACCCGGTACCCACTCAAGGCTGGGTCGACCTGGGAGCCAAGGTAATTTTTTTAAAAAGTCCGGTTCCGCCAGGGAGCGAACCCATGACCTACATGATGTGCACATATATAAACATGACTATGACAGTAACATATACCTACATGATGTGCACACATATATAAACATGACTATGACAGTAACATATCCCTACATAATGTGCACATATACAAGCATGACTATGACGGTAACACATGTGATGTGCAAATATTGAAACATGACTCTAACAGTAACAATACACATATTATATGCACATATACAAACATGACTATGACAGTAACGTATACAAACATGAATATGATAGTAACATATACAAACATGACTATGACAATAACATACATCTACATGATGTGCACATCTACAAACATGACTATGACAGTAACATATACAAACATGACTATGATAGTAACATATACAAACATGACTATGACAGTAATATATAAAAACATGACTATGATGGTAACATATACCTACATGATGTGCACATATACAAACATGACTGTGACGGTAACACATGTGATGTGCAAATATTCAATCATGACTCTAGCAGTAACAATACACAAAAGATGTGAATCAATTGTGCATATATACCAACAGGACTGTAACCACTAGCAATGCATAGAATATGGGGATCAACTGTGCCCATACACCAACAGAGACAATACTCAGAAGTTATAGATCAATTGTGTGCCTATACCAACAGGACTCTAACTGCAACAACATCCATAAAACATGGACCAGCTGGCAAGTAATGAACCAATGCAAATGGGAAAGAGCATGGACAGAGCTGATATCAAAACCGTACAAATTAGGCTGGGAGATAATGGTGAATCTCTGACGCTAACACGACTTTGTGACCGAGGAGTTAAGCTTGGTGAAGCACGACTGCCGTCTTTGAGGTAAAGACAGGAGATACTATAACCAACTCCTCATGGGAACAATAAGTAGAGGTACCTTGAAGTGGCTGCTGCATCAGAGGACTGAGCACGCATGGGGATGCCCAATGTGCAAAGACGTTGATTGTGATAACATAACATAACATGGATAGCTGTCTTCATCAGCAGCACACATTCTTAGACAAACACACAAAAGCAACCATTAATGACAAAGACAGAGAGGTTTTTCTTATTTTTATGACATACAATGAAATATTTAGGTCACATTAGACGATATACAAAGTAAGTTGTGTATTCTATACAGGATTTTGCAGAACCCAATCATACACTTTTTTCTGGCAGTTTGGTTTGACTAAGCAATTTTATGTTTAGTAGGTTGCTGTTGTTTTCTGAATGGCAAGCTCTGAATTTCATTCCTGAAATAAACACAAAGTGGTTTGTGCTTAAATTGACTGTATCTTGAGTAAAACTGGTTACTTCAGAATTATCAAGCAGAATCACAATGTCTAAGCCACAGAGGTTGATCAAAACACATAAGACTCTTTTAAAAACCCTGATTATGGGAAGAGTTGAAAGCAATAGAGAAAGAGGGGAACAACAATAAGAATGGAAGGACAGCACCCAGAGATGAACAAACATCAATCTAGGAGATTGTACACCCCAGGTGCGAAAGAAAAAAATGCCGGAGATTCGCTGCAGACTTCAGTGTGAAGAAGGCACTGGACTGATTGACTGACCGTGGCTTATACAATCACTATTCTTTGCTTCAGGGTAATGGGATAGGGTAAGCTCTACCAAAAGGAGATATAAGGTGCTTACTTTCCTCCGCTAGCCTGCAGGACTCAGGACACCTCATGGGCAGGAGTGGAGTACTCCCTTAGTCACCAAAGATCAGGGTTACATGAAGTCATGGCAGGCCAGGGAGGGATAAAAGTGGTGAGCAGCTGAACAATTTTCAGTACTGGTCTCCACTTTATCTGTGCTAAGCAGAGGGTGCCGCTACAGACCAAATGGCCAGACAACTCCCTAGTATGGACATTGCTCTCACAAAAAAAAAATTGTAACTTGCTGTGAACACATCTTGTCTGCGCAAACTGGAGTACATAATGACAGTGGCAAAGCTGGATGGGAAAAGAGGTAGAGGGAGACAGAGAGAGAGAGAAGATGCTGGACAGTTTGACATCATGACAGAAAGTACATAAGACAGAAGACAGTGGACAGACATGACTACTAACACCACACAGCATGGACTCTGAGAAGATTCTTCTTCATCCCAGGATCATATTTTGAGCATCAGAGGGGATCTGGCTGACTTTCGACACTCAGAGGAAAGGCAAGACGGACATATAAGCAACCAATGGTACCATCAGAACGTGAACTCTGTCTCGCTGCAGAAGATAAGGATGGAGCGCTTATGGGAATGTCCACAGTTCTGTGATGCATATACTTCACCCATTTTAACATATCTGATTTCAAACTGATTTCAAACCTGAGCATAATTTTTAAAGTAAACAAACATATGGAAAAAAAAAACAGGTGAAACATCAATAGATGCACTCACTTTCCGTCTGGCCAGAGAAAACTCCTTGGAGCACTGTTTGCAATGGGTGACTGTCTCATCGCTTGCCCAGTGTGCTTCTCTTTGTATGGCAGTGGCTTCTCTCATATCTTCAACCTTGAGCTTGGATCTAGTCATAACAAAAGTAGCAGTTTATATATGAAATTCTGTGATGCTTGGGCATCTATAATTTGTACATCATAACTTACACCTCAACTACTCGCATTACTTGGGTGGTACAAGAACAGTGACAGATAATATGGTTTGGCCACATAATGAGGATGCTCTAGTACCAACTGCCACAGACAGCCATGCTAAAGAAATATAATGAACACAGAACAAGGGGAAAAAAACAGCATTATAAAAATAAACTTATGCAACATATTAGAAAGAACATACAGAAGAACATTATATGCCCCCCTCCCCCACACATTTTGATGAGGTAACTGGAGGGGAGGAGAAGGAGCAGGAGGAAGAAGAAGGAAAAGAAGAAGAAGAAAAAGAAGAAGAAGAAGAAGAAGAGAAAGAAGTAGAGATAAGTGATTAAATATGTACAACTGTAATTTGTTTTTTGTGTCCATGACATTTGGAACAATCTTCTCAGTTTTTGACATTAGTTTGGAAATACTTTCCACACTCTGTTCTTTAAGTGCTGATCAACTGATCTCTTAATGTGCCAGACTGTACTGTACACACATGGAGATATCCTCTTTCTCTGATATTCATCAATACTTCTGTATTCTTGTGACATTATTCTTAGAGTGAAAAAAGGACAAACAAAACAATTCACTTCTCTTCCTCCTGTTTAGCATATAGGGGGCTGCATGGTCTCGAGACATGGTGTCAAGTGCTAGAGGTCGCAGGTTCAGGCCCAGGGGAAGGCCGGGATTTTTTCATGTGGACTTTTAGTAATTTCCCTCTGGTCTCTGGGTAGTAAGACCGGATGTCTGTGTGTGTACTACTGCACACTTTAAAAATCCCTTGGCAGCTGGAAATAGCACCAACTGGCGCTGCCCGTGCAAAATTAGGAGTTAAAAATCTACTGAAAGTAGTTCAAGACTCTCGCCAGTGCAATGGAGTTTTGAGTTAAAAGAAGAACGGAGCACTTAAAGGTTACACCCATGGGACAAGATGTTGATCCGTTGAATAAACAAACAAACATAATTGTTTAGCATCACAAGTGAGGGACACTGCCGAAGCTATCACTGCCTACATTCATCACTGAGACTGGTCTTCTCTTTCCAGTTAGTGACTCCAAGTGTTTGTGTGTGTGCTTGGATACTATTCACTCGTGTGCAGATGGGAAAGTCGCGCATTCGCTCCCTGGCGTAGTCGGACTTCAAAAAAAAAAAAATGACCTTGATTTCGAGGTCGACCCAGCCTTGAGTGTGTACCGGGTGCAGTCCCAGGAAGTAAAGGTGACCGGTGTGATGCTGATCACATCATCCATCTTGTGCCAATAAAAATATAGGTCTAGCCCTATATGCCCTATACGCATAAAGGCCTGGAAGATGGACCTTTACTTTACTTACTTTTTTTTTCCTTCACAATTTTTTGGGTCTGCCTCATGGTCATTCAATTCTTTCGTGTACACAGTTTTTATATCTGTCTCTGGGGGAAGGGGAGGTGAACAAATCCATAAAATAATCCACAGGAAGCAGAAAAGGACAAACAAAACAATTCGCTCGAAGAATTAAAGGGGGAAGGGGTTGTGTGTGTGTGGGGGAGGGGGGGGGGGAGGGGGTTTAGAAGACAAATAAAACAATTCACCTGAAGAAGAAAAAAAAAAACACAATTCATTTGGGGTAAATTGGAGAGAAAAAAATTCACTGAAGTGTGAAACAAAATCCTTCACTTGAAATTTAAAAAAATATTCCCATCAGAGTGAAACAAAACAATTTATTTGGGGGTGAATAAGATAAATAAAATAATCCACTTTGGGTGCAAAAAATACAAACAGAGCAATTCACTTGAGGTGAAAAGGGACAAAAAAGGGAATAAAAAAAGTTTATGAAAATAAGACATACTCGCTGAGATGTGAACCTAGCTCTGCTAAAGCACTTTCTTGTTCCTGACACTGCACGCGAAGCTCTTCATGTCTGGTTATCAGCAGGGAGTAATCCTTGAAACAGTAGGTAAAACAGTGAGCATCACTTAAATGTAAGATTGAACTCTTTGAGTCCCAAAAAACTCATAATACGTTCATAGGTTCCTATCTAGAAGCCCAATTAATGCATAATGTGCTGATTTTCTGCCTCTCTGCTAGGCTTAACCCTCTGGGACTCAAAGAGTTAACAAACAAAAGTAATATAATGTTTCTAGTTCTTAGTAAATTTGTTCCTTTCTTTTTGTTTGATTAGTGGTTTTTCCTGTCTTAAAGATTAGATTCTGTAGGATTAACATATCAAGGATGAAAATCAAACAAGTGCAAATCCCAGAAACCCTACTCAAAAGTATATAACACAGTTATATCGAGGTGCGCAACAGTGATAAAGAAACATGTCGTCTAGTCTGGGTGCGTGATGTTTTTAAGATGTGTTTTAATAAGTCAAAGCAATGGCAAACTACTGGACGTAAATTTCCCTAGAAAAACCACACAACAGCCAGGGGCTGTTGGGGTTGGTTCTGCAACGTCCTGTAAAGGATACGCAACTAACCTTTAATAAGTCAGGATCTGTGGCCTAGGCGTAGCGAACACGTTTTGTAATGCCGATGTGCCGTGTTCAATCACAGCTGCAGGATGGGTTGTCCTGCTCTGGTTTTGACAGTGATACCGAGAGCTGACAATTCAGAAAGAAATGGCAAGCTACCGAACGTGTAATTTGCCTAGAAGAAACCACAATAGTAAAAAAAAAATGCTGGGGTTGGTTTTGCAACACCCTGTAAAGGATGAGCAACAAACTTATTTTTAAATAAGTCAGTGTCTGTAGCTTAAGCATTACAAATACGCTTCATAATTCCGAGGTGTTGGGTTCAATCCTAGCTGACAGTGATCTGGAAGCAGGTCATTTAGCAAGGTTTTGACAGTGGTATCAAGAGCCAACCTTTCATAAAGCAATGGCAAACTACTGCATTAAAAATTGCCTAGTGAAATCACAATCAGTCAAAAAATGCTGGGGTTGGTTCTGCAAATGTCTGATAAAGGATATACAACTAACAAGTTTGTTGATGGGGGATATTTCTGTGCCCTGAGGCACTTTAAGCACATGGTCATCATCATCAGGTGCCCTGCCAAGTGGCGTAGGCGCTCATGCGTCTCCACAGATCACGATCCCTGGTTGCCTGGAACAGCTCTCTTGATGATATCCCTTTATGCCATCGTGTCAGCCCATCCAGCATCATCTCTCTTGGTCTGCCTCTACCCACTTTTTCCAGTGATCTTTCCAGTTGTCACGATGTTCTCCAATGTCTCTCTTCTCATTATGTGGCCAAAGAACAGTTTTTGTCTTTTTTTTATTGTTGTATACAGAGATCTACTTTCATTAGCTTCTTTCAAGCAATCGTTGTTAGTTACTCTGGCTGTCCAAGGTTTTCGTAACATTTGTCTCAGAAACCACTTAGGCATAAGATACTAGACTAATTTCTTTTTTATAACCAATTGGCACACTGTGGGAACTCATTTTGGCCTGGGGTTAGCCTGGGAGCCCAATACAATGTTAAAAAAGCAGGCTTGTAGAAGAACTGAACCTATGCTCACTAGGCCCATAAGTAAGTGTGTTTGTGATTATACTACTGCACTCCTGGTGTATCATTACCATCAACCTGTTCTGCTGTTGTATCACATAGAGTTCACAGCTTATTTTTCCATTTCATGTTACCCTTAGCAATTCTTTTAAGATCATGGGTGAAATTCACTCCAGCACCTTTAGCCTAACTCCTCAACATTCGTCTTAAGGTTTCTTTTGGACGTCCTCATTTCCTTAATCTATTTGTTTCCCATTTAAGTGCCTGTCTGGTGATTCTGTTTGCTTAGCCTTTCAGGATGTGCCCAATAAATTACTATCTTCTTGGTCTTACAACTGTCAATATTAGCCACAGTCTAGAATTTTCTGATATTTTTTTGCCTTTTTCAAATTATTCCATCAATTCTCACTGTTTATTACTAACATAACTGTCCATTTCCATTTTGTTACATTGCGGTGTATTTCCACATATATTATTTTTAACTGGTTTAATTCTTCGGTACTTTCTATTGTGATAACAGAAACACAACAGTTTCCCAACTTTAAACGAGAGGTAGATACAGCTGTCTGGAGACAAACAGGAGAAGAAGTTGGAGAAGGTACATGTTGGAAGAAGGTGAATTTGCTGATAGTTTATGCAACTAGTATAAGCTGGGTCATGGGTTCAAATCCACATGGAGTAAGATAAAAAAAAAAAATGGCCATAACTTCCCAGTTGACCCATGGCTTTTCAGTTGACCCATGGCTTCCTTGTTGACCCATGGCTTCCTTGTTGATCCATGGCTTCCCAGTTGATCCATGGCTTCCTTGTTGACCC